GCTTTGTGAATTTATTCTATATACAGTTTGTCATACTTGCACAAAACAGTGGACCGACTGAATGAAAATAATCTAAACTTCAAATCTAAGCATCTTAAAAACCATCTAATCTGTTCTGAAGACAGTTAGGTTATTTAAGATACTTTAATAAAACCTTCCACACTTATTTCTGTATTTCGGATTGTCTTCCTGTTATGAACACTGGTGCTGATTCATGTGAAATCTTTTACAATTAAAGAAAGACAAAGCTCTTAATTTACCGGTCAATCTACTTTCCTACTCTCACCTATGGTCATAAGCTTTGGGTTATGACTGAAAGGACAAGATCTCAGTTACAAGCGGCCGAAATGAGTTTACCTCACAGGGTGGCAGGGCGCACCCTTATAGGTGAGGAGCTCTTTCACCTGGGAGGAGCTCGGAGTAGAGCCTCCTCCACATCGAGAGAAGTCAGCTGAGTTGGCGCAGGCATCTGTTTAGGATGCCTCCTGGACGCCTACCTAGGAAGGTATTCCAGGCATGTCCCACCAGCAGGAGGCCTCGGGAAAGACCCAGGACAGGATGGAGGGACTATATCTCTCGTCTGACCTAGGAACGCCTTAGGATTCCCCTGGAGGAGCTGGAGGAAGTGTCTGGGGAGAAGGAAGTCTGTGGTTCTGACTACCCCCGCGACCCGGCCCTGGAAAAGCGGCAGATAATAAATGAATGAATAAATAAACGAATAGAAACATATTTTCACAAATGAAGGCAAACATTTTAGTGACATCTTATGAAATGTAAATTGCTTCATGGCAAAAGAATGTTTCTGTTTTCCTTCAGGTCCTGTGGTAGGCGAGTTTCTTCCAGCTCTCCTGCCTCTGTTGAAGAGCTGTGTTGACCCCAGCCGAGAGCCTGAGATGAGGCTGCACATCTTCACCATGCTGTCCAAACTACTGCTGGACGCCAAAAACACACTGGACTCACAGGGGTCAGTTATCACACACACACACACACACACACACACACACACACACACACACACACACACACACACACACATGTTTGTTTTTGTGAAAAGTGGGGACATTACATAGGTTTCCATTCATTTTATGCAGCCCAAACCGTATATTATATTGCCCTCACCCCACCCCACCCCTAAACCCAACCATCACAGGAGATTGTGTGCAGCTTTACTCTCTGATTAAACTCATTCTGTAGGATTTATAAGCATTTTGAGAAATGAGGACGTCACCAATGTCCTCATATTTCACCTCCTTTTTGTAATACCTGTGTCATACCCATGTCATTATACAGATTTGTGTCCTGATATGTCACAAAAACACGTACACACATACACACACACACACACACACACACTTAATACACACTCCTAAATGCTGACAACATCTGATAGTGTATTTCACAATTCATGTCATAGTTATGAAGGGGGAAAAGTGTAACAGGCTCAAATTTGCATCCATTTTGGACGCATGTGCACTTGAAATTTTAGGTATGCCACCTCCTGTTATTTTATTTGTGCTGTTCATGATTACAATGATTAATGGATTTAGAGATGATCTTTGAACAGAGATCTTTTGTGAAGCCTGACATGAATTTAGATATCATGTATTTCAAAGACACGCTTTCATAATTACACCAATAAAGGAGCATTTCAGTTATGCAGCAAAATCCCCTTTGCTCCCCTCAGATTCCTCTGTTTCATGTGGATCTTTGATTTGCAAAGTGAAATAAGAGCAGAGTGAGAGGAACAGCAACACACACACGACATATCAGACGTCTATTGTTTAAAGATAGTGATCATTTGCCATATTTATGTTCATACCACAATCTCGCCTGCAGCGTAATTGATCCAAAGCTAAAGAACAGTGTGCCACCACCTATCAGAACTGCCTCCACGCTACTTAACTTCAAATCAAAGCTAAAAACGCATCTTTTCTCTTGTGCTTGTAAATAATGTGTAGAGATATTTGCATTCAAGTATATTAATGTTATTTATTTTCTTTTTTCCTTTCTTCTCTCTCTCTTTTTTCCTTTAATACTTCTGTGCAGCACTTTGGCCAACTGAGGTTGAACTTAAATTTGCTCTGTTAATAAATAAAGTTAATGTTGATTTATGAATAACAGGGTGTCCGCGGGGTCTTAAAAAGTATTAAAAGTTGATAAATCAATTATGAGAAATTTAAGGCTCTTAAAATCTATTAAAAAGTCTTAATGTCGGTGCCAGTGGTGTAGTGGTTAGTGCGTTGACACATGCACTCCGCTGCTCACTATGCCAATCCTTGCCCTCTCTCTGCTCCCCATGCTTTGCTGTCAATACTCTCTACTTTCCTATACAATAAAGGGGAAAACCCCCAAAAAAATAATTATAAAAAATGTAAAAAAAGTCTTAATAGCGTTTTTATGTGGTGTTAAAATTTGTTCAAGTGTTTTCCAAAGTGTTTGACTCCAAAACAGCATAAATATATTCATTTTCCACCTTATGTTAACAACGGTGTGCTCGATCCACATGATCGGTTCAGACCAGCCAAACTCCACTGTCCGGGTGATGTCACGTCATTTGCAACAGACACAGAAAGGTGATGTGACGCTCTCCACTCATGTAGCGAAACAGACGGCAAAATGGGAAAATGTAAGATTGCGTACTCTTGGTTGGAGAAAGACAAGTTCAAACAGTGGCTGAAGCCAGTTGCTGCATAATTAATTCTTTCAAGATTTGTTTCTTCCGAGTTATCTGAGTTCTGTTGAATGGTTGTGCTCCATTCATTTATTCAACTACAACTGTTCATTAACAACTGTTTATTAAGTTAAAGGTTTGATACTGATTAGAACTTGAAGAGGTCTAAAAAGTCTTAAAAAGGCATTGAAATTATCTTTAGGATTCCTGCATATACCCTGAATAAGAAAGACATCAATGGAAATATCCACAGGGAAAACTACTGCACATGCTGCAAGCATCTTAAAGCGGTTATGAATATTAGTATCTTGCAAGATAACTAGTAAAATATTAAGCCTTGTCATCATGGCAAGACAAAAGAAATAAGTTGGAAATAATTGAAAAATGGCTAATAATTTTGTTAAGTTACTTGTTAATAATAATTTGATAATATATGGAAACATATTTACTGTACTCACAGAAGGGATGATTTTGTAAAACTGTAAATTCGATCGGGCTATAATGGCTTACAGAATAAGAACGAATGTAGAGTAGGACTTGTATTGAAATTGTATTGTGTGATTTTGGTTTTGCCGATGGAGAGTGACAGCTACCGTAATTAATCAGGTTTTTTCATTTTTGGGTGAACTATCCCTTTAAGAATAATAGTTTAGACCTTGGCGTTTGCTTGTTTAAATTATTTGTCCCTAATGAGGTGTTTTCTCTCTGTAGGCAGTTTGGTGAACACATGGAGATGGTCCTGCAGGATTTGTTGATGCCCAATCTGGTGTGGCGTTCAGGTCGATCAGCTGCAGCTGTCAGAACCGCTGCTCTCAGCTGTCTGTTAGCTGTCCTACATGGAGAGGCTTTCCCAGCAGAGAGAGTAATAATACACACGCATAAATAACACTATCAGTACAGCTGAGCCTTTAAAAAGTACCATTAGTCTCATTAGTCTTTCTTTACTCGTCCTTCACTTGTTCCAAACCACTTTGACTTTCTATCTTTTGTTCTATAATATATAATATAATATTTATACACACAGTGGTGTGAAATAGTGTTTGCCCCCTTTCTGAATTCTCAGTTTTTGCATGTTTGTCACACTTTAATGTTTCAGATCATCAAACAAATGTAAATATTAGCCAAAGATACAAGTAAAAACATCATGCAGTTTTAAAATGAAGGTTTTCATTATTAAGGGGAAACAAAATCCAAAACTACATAGTCCTGTGAAAAAAAAAAATTTTTTAAGAACTTTCCGACAAGTGAAGTAGACCAAAAGATCCTCAAAAGCTAGACATTATGCCGAGGTTTAAAAAAATTCAAAAACAAATGAGAAAGAAAATATTCCACTAGTCTGGAAAAGCCATTTGTAAAGCTTTGGATCTGCAGCGAACCACGATGAGAGCCTTTATCTACAAGCGATAAAAACATGGAACAATGGAAATCTTTTTGGAGGAGTGGCTAGCTGACCAACATCACCCTAACATCACTGCGACAACTCATCCAAAAGGTCTAAAAAGACCCGACAACAACACCCAAAGAACTGCAGGCCACAGTTAAGGTGAGTGTTCATGACTCCACCATAACAAAGAGACTGGGCAAAAATGCATCCTATGGCAGAGTTCAAAGAAGAAAACCAATGCTGAGAAAAAAAGAACATAAAGGCACGTCTCAGTTTTGTCAGAAAACATCTTGATAATTGCCGAGATTTTGGGGAAAATACTATGTGGACTGACATTTTGGAAGCTGTGTGTCTCATTATGTGTGGCTTAAAAGTGAGACCACATTTCAGAAAAAGAACATCATAGCAAAATTTAAAATGTGGTGGTGTTGGTGATAGTGTGATGGTCGGGGGCCATTTTACTGTTTCAGGACCTTGAAGACTTGCTGTTATGAGTGGAACCTTGAATTCTGCTGTGTACCAAAATATCCTGAAGGAGAATGTCCGGCCATCTGTTAGTGACCTTAAGCTGAAGCAAACTTAGTTTCTGCAGAAGAACAACAATCCAAAGCACACCTGTAAGTCCTTTTTTGAAGGGCTGAAGAAAACAAAGAAAAACCTTAAAGTGGCCTAGTCAAAGTCCTGAGCTCAATCCAATTAAGATGCTGCGGCATGACCTTAAAAAGTCAGTTCATGCTCAAAAAATTTTTCAATGTGGCTGAATTACAACAATTCTGAAAATAGATGAGTCGGCCAAAATTCCTCCACAGCACTGTAACAGACTCGTTGCAAGTTTTCAGAAACACTTTTTGTTTCGGAACCTGTCTCGTTTGCCCAGTTAGCGCAGTTCGTTTGGCATCTGTGAATCCACCAATCGCCTTCGAATCGCTCGTCTTCCTCCTGGTCCTTAAATAATTCATATATATATATATATATATATATATATATATATATATATATATATATAGATAGATAGATAGATAGATAGATAGATAGATAGATAGATAGATAGATAGATAGATAGATAGATAGATAGATAGATATAGATATAGATGGAGAGAGAGAGAGAGAGAGAGAGAGAGAGAGAGAGAGAGAGAGAATTTATTCTCACATTCTCAGCAAGTCTGCATTTGTTTGCTCAAAAATACTGTACAAACAGTGTGAAATATTAAAAATAGCAGTTTCATGTTTGAATGTATTTTATTCCTGTGATGACGGTTGACATTTTCATTCATCCAGACTTCAGTGTCAGTGTCTCAATTATTATCAATGATCCTCTAACAATAGAACATCATTCATTTTGGAAAGAAATGTGACAAATGTCCTTACTGTCACGTTTCTTGTATCATTTTTTCTCACTTTGTTTTAATTTAGTTTGGTTTAGTACTGTATGTTCTTGCTTACTAAAAGTATGAATATGTTTGATTCCCTATTGTTTACAGTGCATAGTGTTGTGTATGTAATATGTAGTGTTCTGTTGTGTGTTGAGGTGGTGTCAGCGGTGGACTCTCTCTCCTCTCTGCTGATCTCTGCACTGGAGGAAGACTCAAAACTGGCTCGTCTTCTGGCCTGTAGATCTCTGACCTCCCTGCTGAAGATCACAGCTCAGCAGATCAGCACTGACAAGCTCAACCAAGTCTATCCAGGTAATATTAAAATTTACAGCAGGGACTTTTTATTTTCAGATTCTGCTGTCTTAGTCACATTAGTCACATCTGTGTATAAAATTATCTTTACACAGCCGATTTAAAGGTCCTGTTTGACAAAATTTCCGTTTAAAAGATATAAAACTCATATAAACATGTGAAACTTGCAGATTGTCACTTCCACCTAAATGTATCAATCAGTTTTTTCCCCATCACCTCATACTTTAGCTTCTCATCAAATCTTCTGACCAATTAAACGCTCTCTAGTGTCTGACATGCCCTGTTCCCTTCTCATTTGTTTTCATTTGATGCCCTTGAGCTCAACCACTTCCACTGGCAGAGCTGTGATAAAAACTAAACGCTGGCTGTTTTTTTAAAGGGAGGGGCTAATATATGTCCCTCCCTGTCTTGATGTTTTGGTTGAGATTACGTCAAACATCGAATAAAAAAAAAAAAAAAACACTTTACAGAACCTTTAAGGCAACACTAAAGCAGGTCTGCTCAGAATTCAGTGTAAAGACGCTATACACAAAAAAATTTCCTAAATTTAAAACACAATTCATAAGTATGCAAATCCAAAAATTCAAAACAATTTATAAATACACAAAATACATTTAGTAAATTCAAAACACAATTCATAAAATTCAAAACACAATTTATAAATATGAAAATCCAATTCATAAATAAGAAAATCCAAAATTCAAAACAATTTATAAATACACAAAATACATTTAGTAAATTCAAAACACAATTCATAAAATTCAAAACACAATTTATAAATATGAAAATCCAATTCATAAATAAGAAAATCCAAAATTCAAAACACAGTTCGTAAATACCGGACACAAGTCATAAATTCAAAACACAATTCATAAATTCAAAACAACTCATAAATTTGCAAATCCAATTATTAAATTCAAAACACAATTCGTAAATACCCAAAACATTCAAGGCACCATCCATAAATATGCAAATCCAATTTGTAAATTCAAAACACAATTCATAAATTCAAAACAACTCATAAATTTGCAAATCCAATTCTTATATTCAAAACACAATTCGTAAATACACAAAACACAATTCATAAATTCAAAACACAATTCATAAATTCAAAACACAATTCATAAATTCAAAACAACTTATAAATTTGCAAATCTAATTCTTAAATTCAAAACACAATTCGTAAATACCCAAAACATTCAAGGCACCATCCATAAATATGCAAATCCAATTTGTAAATTCAAAACACAATTCGTAAATTTGTAAACACATGACTTGTAAACGCATGAATCCAATTGGTAAATTCAAAACACAATTCCTAAATACACAAAACACAATTCATAACTGCACAAAACACAATTCATAAATTCAAAACACAATTCATAAATACACAACAAAACTTGTAAATACATGAATCCAATTTGTAAGTTCACAACACAATTTTCATTCACTCATTTTCTTGTCGGCTTAGTCCCTTTAATAATCCAGGGTCACCACAGCGAAATGAACCGCCAACTTATACATCACGTTTTTACGCAGCGGATGCCCTTCCAGCCGCAACCCATCTCTGGGAAACATACACACACACACACACACACACACACACACTCATACACGACAGACAATTTAGCCAACCCAATTCACCTGTTCCGCATGTCTTTTGACTGTAGGGGGAAACCGGAGCACCCGGAGGAAACCCATGCGAGCGCAGGAGAACATCCAAACTCCACACAGAAAAGCCAACTGTAAAAACATGAATTCAATTCATAAACTCAAAACACAATTCATGAATACAAAAAAAAATTGTAATTTCAGAACACAATCCGTAAATTCAAAACACCATGTATAAATACGCAAATCCAATTTTTAAATTCAAAACTCAATTCGTAAATACACAAAGCACAAATCTTATATTCACAGCAGAACTTGTAAACACATTAATCCAATTTGTAAATTCAAATCACAATTCGTAAATGCACAAAACACAATTCGTAAATAAACACAATTCCTAAATTTAAAACACGATTTGCCTGTAGAACTGCCTTAATCCTTCGTGGCATAGATTCAACAGTACTGGAGGTGTTCCTCAGAGATTTTGATTCATATTGACCTGATAGCATCGCGCAGTTGCTGCAGATTTGTCGGCTGCACATCCATGATGCGAATCTCCCATTCCACCACATCCCAAAGGTGCTCTATTGGATTGAGATCTGCATACTATGGAGGCCATTTGAGTACTGTGAACTTAGTCATGTTCAAGAAAGCAGTCTGAGATGATTCTCGATTTTTGATGTGGCACGTTATAATGCTGGAAGTAGCCATCAGAAGATGGGTACACTGTGGTCATAAAGGAATAGACATGGTCAGCAACAATACCCAGGTAGACTGTGGTGCTGATGCTCAATTGGTACAACTGGACCCAAAGTGTGCCAAGAAAATACGAAATATCCCCTACACAATTACACCAACCTCCACCAGTCTGAATCATCCTTCGAGTGCTCCGGTTTCCCTCACAGTCCAAAGACATGCGCTATAGGTGAACTGAATAAGCTAAACTGGGCATAGCGTATGAGCGTGTGTGTGAATGCGAGAGTGTATGGCTGTTCCCGCTGCCTAAAACATATGTTAACATAGTTGGTGGTTCACTCCACTGTGGTGACCTCTGAAATAGAGACTAAGCCCTTCGGAAAATGAATGACTACTGTGAATATTCATGAATAAACTCACTCAAATTCTGACAGAATATTTTGGATTCAGATTTGCATCACAAAAATAAATACATTTTGTTTAAAATAATGTAATACAGTAAATCTTTATTTGAAGTTGTAATAATATTTCACAATATTTCTGTATATTTACATTAGATATAAAGTATTTGAGTCTTTTAAATACTTTTAAAACGTAATTTCTCCACACATGTATGTTTGACCGGTTTTGCAGTGTACACTGTAAAATAATCTCCGTTTAAATCAAAGGAGTTTATTTACAGATGGTAATTCTGCGGCATCGAGCATACGAGACCAAAAACACTTTGTCTGATCTTGTTTTCCTTCTTTTAATCTGATCTTATCTTTATATTTTACATGAATCCAATTTGTAAGTTCACAACACAATTTTCATTCACTCATTTTCTTGTCGGCTTAGTCCCTTTAATAATCCAGGGTCACCACAGCGAAATGAACCGCCAACTTATACATCACGTTTTTACGCAGCGGATGCCCTTCCAGCCGCAACCCATCTCTGGGAAACATACACACACACACACACACACACACTCATACACGACAGACAATTTAGCCAACCCAATTCACCTGTTCCGCATGTCTTTTGACTGTGGGGGGAAACCGGAGCACCCGGAGGAAACCCATGCGAGCGCAGGAGAACATCCAAACTCCACACAGAAACGCCAACTGTAAAAACATGAATTCAATTCATAAACTCAAAACACAATTCATGAATACAAAAAAAAATTGTAATTTCAGAACACAATCCGTAAATTCAAAACACCATGTATAAATACGCAAATCCAATTTTTAAATTCAAAACTCAATTCGTAAATACACAAAGCACAAATCTTATATTCACAGCAGAACTTGTAAACACATTAATCCAATTTGTAAATTCAAATCACAATTCGTAAATGCACAAAACACAATTCGTAAATAAACACAATTCCTAAATTTAAAACACGATTTGTAAATTTAAAACACAATTCATAAAATTCAAAACACAATTCATACAATTCTGAACACAATTTATAAATGCGTCAATCCAATTTGTTAATTCAAAACACAATTCATTAATACACAACACAACTTGTTAATACATGAATCCAATTAGTAAGTTCACAACACAATTTGTAAATACACAAATCCAATTCGTAAATTCAAAACAACTTGTAAATACATAAATCCAATTTATAAATTCAACACACAGTTCGTAAATTCTAAACACAATTCGTAAATACACAGAACACAATTCATAAATTCAAAACACAGTTTATAAATGCGCAAATCCAATTAGTTAATTCAAAACATAAAATATTTAATTTATAAATTGTTTGTGTGTTTATGAATTGTCTTTTGATTTTATCAATTGAAAATGTAAAATGCGCTGTGCGTGTATGAGTTTTATTTTTGCAATTGTACTCTTTTTAATACTGATCTGGCTCTATAGCTTCAGGCTTGTTTTTTTGTGCCCCTTTGGTGTGTAAAAATACCTTAATATAATAGCTGTTACTGCGGAGGGCTCAGATGACGTATGTGAGGCGGTTTTTCTGTGTGTTTCAGAGCTGCTGAAGCGTGTGGATGACAGCAGTGAAGACGTGCGTGTGGAGGCTCTCAAGTCTCTGAGTGTGTGGTTCTGCTCTTTGGGGAAAAACTATGACATGCAGTCCAACCGTCCACACCTGGAGCTCCTGTTCCAGCAGCTGCTGCTCTACATGGATGATCCTGACACCACAGTCCAGAACACAGTGCTCGGTACAGCTCACTTCTGCTCCAACTCAATACGCAAACACCTTGTTACACAACATGCATCCACAATGACCCGTTTTCATTATGGTGGTTTGAGAAAGCCAACATACTGGTGATATCCAACATAAAGTACACATGACATCAAAATTAAACACATTGATTTTGTTGGCTCACACTGCTAGTTTTTGTAGTGAACAATTCGTCTGCGCAGGTCATTAGGAAAAAAAAAGGTTGCCCTTGGAATCTAAAATCGAAATCTGCAAATGCACTTCCTTTTAGTTGTTAGTTAGATTCTCAGATTACGTCAGTCTTAGGTATTGGGTGTGGCTAACATACTTAGCCACGCCCCTCCAACTGTCAGTTATGCGCAATGACATCAAACAGAAATGGTGAGGAGGAGGTGTCTGTTAGGTACTAATAATTCTCCCCAAACATTTTTCCCGATCTTTCTACTTTACTAAATCCAATCTGCTCACAGAAGAAAACCACAAGCCACACCCACTGTTTTCTCATATAATATTTTGTTTCTGTAGGAGTTGCGTTACAATCCGGAAAAAAAAAATGTTACAAATTCTGGTTCATGCAGACATTGCATGACATTGCAAATCTAAAATTGCTCTCTCTTCTGGCTGCCGTTGTGGGTCTCACACTATTTTATTTCCCTTTTTCCAAAAGTCTTAACACTATTGTTGGCTTTTTCTTCTTTTTCAGCAAATTTAATAATGCCAAAAAGTATCTGTGGTACTCTCCCAACTAGTATGACTTCCGCTGCTGAGAAACCCGGAAATGTGAAAATGTTTTTTTACAATATAAAATACTTAATGCCTATGGAGAGTCCCCGTAAACCATATAAACAAGTGTGTTTGTGTGTGTTAATAGTTCAGCTCTGTTCTATGGTCCACTTGACTGATCCTCCTGTTCTTCTCCTCAAAGAGCCTCATTAATCCTGCATTTGTACAGTGGCTCCGTCACTCGCTGCTCTGCTACTGGATGGAGACCAGCGGGTCATGAGCTGTCAACACCTTTACATAATCCCACACAAACACACACTCACTTTTCTCTTCATACACACTCGTTAATGCTTGATCACAATGAAGGATACGTTGTTGGTCAGAATTTTTTTTTTTTTATGTGTGTATGTTCACCAAGGCTGCATTTATTTCATGAAATATTACTACAAATTGACTTAAGAGTTTAGTGTTTGAAAATACACTTACCGGCCACTTTATTAGGTACACCTTACTAGTACCAGGTTGGACCACTTTTGCCTGTAGAACTGCCTTAATCCTTCGTGGCATAGATTCAACAGTACTGGAGGTATTCCTCAGAGATTTTGGTTCATATTGACCTGATAGCATCACGCAGTTGCTGCAGATTCGTCGGCTCCACATCCATGATGCAAATCTCCCATTCCACCACATCCCAAAGGTGCTCTATTGGATTAAGATCTGCATACTATGGAGGCCATTTGAGTACTGTGAACTTAGTCATGTTCAAGAAAGCAGTCTGAGATGATTCTCGATTTTTGATGTGGCGTGTTATAATGCTGGAAGTAGCCATCAGAGGATGGGTACACTGTGATCATAAAGGGATGGACATGGTCAGCAACAATACCCAGGTAGACTGTGGTGTTGACATGATGCTCAATTGGTACAACTGGACCCAAAGTGTGCCAAGAAAATACAAAATATCCCCTACACAATTACACCAACCTCCACCAGTCTGAATCATCCTTCGAGTGCTCCGGTTTCCCTCACAGTCCAAAGACATGCACTATAGGTGAACTGAATAAGCTAAACTGGGCATAGCGTATGAGCGTGTGTGTGATTGCGAGAGTGTATGGCTGTTCCCGCTGCCTAAAACATATGTTAACATAGTTGGTGGTTCACTCCACTGTGGTGACCTCTGAAATAGAGATTAAGCCCTTCGGAAAATGAATGACTACTGTAAATATTCATGAATAAACTCACTCAAATTCTGACAGAATATTTCGGATTCAGATTTGCATCACAAAAATAAATACATTTTGTTTAAAATAATGAAATACAGTAAATCTTTATTTGAAGTTGTAATAATATTTAACAATATTTCTGTATATTTTTCATTAAATAAGTATTTGAGTCTTTTAAATACTTTTAAAACGTAATTTCTCCACACATGTATGTTTGACCGGTTTTGCAGTGTACACTGTAATATAATCTCCGTTTAAATCAAAGGAGTTTATTTACAGATGGTAATTCTGCGGCATCGAGCATACGAGACCAAAAACACTTGGTCTGATCTTGTTTTCCTTCTTTTAATCTGATCTTATCTTTATTTTTCATTCAGCTCTTAAACAAGTGTCACATTTCAAAGACACATCAGACGTGATTAATGCCCATTATAACACCACACTTGCCGTATCCCATAATCCCTCATTCCACTGGTTAAGCTTATAATAACAGCACTCTCACGCTGTGCTTGAGTTACTGAGGAAATTCACTCGTATCTTTACACAAAGAAAACCTTGTTTTCCGCTGCACTTACAAACCTATAGAGCGCCGGATAAAAGAAAATCCCCCGACCAAACAAATCAGGATAAAACCAAATCCCCACAACAAAGACGAGACTGCTGAAAGAACACCGATCGGCTTTATCAGCTTCCCTTTGTTCCTAAACGGTGAACTGACTGGCAAAGGCACTTTTTATTTATTTATTACTCATAATGATACAACTAAAGATGCTTTTGCATACTCACAATGTAAAAAGTTTTTATTTGTCAAAGTAATTTGAATAATTTGAATATGAGTGTGGCATTAGGATCAACTACTGAACATTTACATTAGGAAAAAGTCAAAAGTGACAGTAAAGACAGTTCTGATGTTTACAAGCATTTCTTTCTCAATTAATCTTGAGCACCTTGCATTTTAACCACCTGCTTGCACCTCACATTTTTGCCGTTGCACTCGAAAAAAAAGTCAATTCTAAGCATCTTTTTTTATTCTCTAATCAAATGAAAGCAGAGGCGGGGTTTTCCGTTGAAGTGACTGCAATGTTTGTGTTGTCAAGACTACGATGGAGAGTTTTAAAGATGGAGGAGAGGGTAGTGGACACTAAGCAAGCCTAGCAACATTAAAAGTGCAGCAAAAGACAGAGTCAAGAAAACGATAGAGTCGACAGTTTACAGACAATAGAGTTGATCATGTAGTAACAAGGTCGGCGAATGATAGAGTCGGCGAACGACAGAGGTGACAAATACGAGAATTGATAGTGACAGAGTTGACGAACAACAGAGTTGACGAATGACAGACAATAGAGTTTACCAACGAACGACAGAGTCAACAAATACCAGAACTGATAGTGACAGAAGTGACAGACAATAGAGTTGACTGATGAATGACAGAGTTGATGAACGACAGAGTCTGCGAACAACAAAGTCGACAAATACCAGAATTGACAGACAACAGAGTCGATGGACAACAGAATTGACAGTTGACAGACAATAGAGTTGACCGACGAATGACAGAGTTGATGAACGACGGAGTCTGCGAACAACAAAGTCGACAAATACCAGAATTGACAGACAACAGAATTGACAGTTGACAGACAATAGAGTTGACCGACGTATGACAGAGTCAACTTACAAGAGTTGACAAAGTCGATGTACAACAGAGTCAATGGACAACAGAGTTGACAAAGTCGATGTACAACAGAGTCAATGGACAACAGAGTTGACAGAGTCGATGTACAACAGAGTCGATGGACAACAGAGTTGACAATTGATGGACAACAGAATTGACAGTTGACAGACAATAGAGTTGACCGACGTATGACAGAGTCAACTTACAAGAGTTGACAAAGTCGATGTACAACAGAGTCAATGGACAACAGAGTTGACAAAGTCGATGTACAACAGAGTCAATGGACAACAGAGTTGACAGAGTCGATGTACAACAGAGTCGATGGACAACAGAGTTGACAATTGATGGACAACAGAATTGACAGTTGACAGACAATAGAGTTGACCGACGAATGACAGAGTCAACTTACAACAGAGTTGACAGAGTCAATGTACAACAGAGTCGATGGACAACAGAGTTGACAGAGTCGATGTACAACAGAGTCGATGTACAACAGAGTCGATGGACAACAGAGTTGACAATTGATGGACAACAGAATTGACTGACGAATGACAGACTCGACGGACAACGAAGTTGACAGAGTTGATGGACAACAGAGTTGACAGACAGTAGAGTTGTCCGACGACTGACAGAATTGATGAACGACAGAGTCGGCGAACGACAGAGTCGACAAATAGCAGAATGGAGAGTAACAGAGTTTGCGAGCAACAGAGTCCACAAATACCAGAATTGATAGTGACAGAGTTGACGTGCGCCAGAGTCAACGGACAACAGTTGATGGACAACAGAGTTGAAAGTTAACAAACAATAGAGTTGACCGACGAATGACAGAGTCAACAAATACCAGAACTGATAGTGACAGAAATGACAGACAATAGAGTTGACTGACGAATGACAGAGTTGATAAACAACAGAGTATGCAAACAACAAAGTCGACAAATACCAGAATTGACAGACAACTGAGTCGACAGACAACAGAATTGACAGTTGACAGACAATAGAGTTGACCGATGAATGACAGAGTTGACGAATGACAGAGTCAACGTACAACAGAGTTGACAGAGTCGATGTACAACAGAGTCGACGGACAACAAAATTGAAAGAATTGATGGACAACAGAGTTGACCGACGAATGACAGACTCAACGGACAACGAAGATGACAGAGTTGATGGACAACAGAGTTGACAGACTATAGAGTTGTCCGACGACTGACAGAATTGCTAAACGACAGAGTTGGCGAATGACAGAGTCGACAAATAGCAGAATGGAGAGTGACAGAGTTGGCGAGCACCAGAGTCCACAAATACCAGAATTGATAGTGACAGAGTTGATGTGCGCCAGAGTCAACGGACAACAGAGTTGATGGACAACAGAGTTGACAGTTGACAAACAATAGAGTTGACCGAATGACAAAGTCGACGAGCACCAGAGTCAACGAATAACAGAGTTGACAGACAGCAGAGTCGAGGGACAATAGGGTTGGTAGACAACAGAGTTGATAGTTGACGGACAATAGAGTTGACCGACGAATGACAGAGTTGACGAATGACAAAGTTGATAAATGACAGTTGACAAATAACATAGTCGATGGATGTCAAGAGTCGACGGTGACCATTGACGAAGAGCAGAGTTAATAGACGAAAGAGTTGACGTTGATGGAGTTTACAAATGACTGAGTTAAAGAATGTCATACCAGAGTGAACATTTTCCCCCATTTTGTGCTTTTTCAAGATGCTAACCTCAAATCAGATACCACATGGGCAATCTAAAAAAAAATTGTATGCATATTAAAATAAAACAACATGTATATTGTTGCATATTTTGTTATTAGGAAGTAGCTAGTGGACTGAAAGATGTTTGTTGTTTTTGACTGCACATTAACACGGCTGTGTACATGAAGCTGAATGTCTGTGTTTGTGTGTCAGGTGTTCTGAAGGTGGCGAGTGCAGTGGATGGAGATCTGTTACAGCAGCAGACAGAGAGTGTGAGAGAGAAACAGCGCAGCCCAGAGTACTGTGACAAACTCCTGCAGCACATACACTCATTATGACAATCAAGCCCTAAACACACACACAAAGACACTCACACACGCACAAAACTCCAGACATGCACACACACTTACTGTGTACATTCAGACAATTTGTGAATGGGCAAAATCTAAGTGTATTTTCACCTTTGCTCTTTTATTATTGGTGAACTTTTATTAAAGTAAATGTTATATATATGAAAACAGTAAACATCATACATTTTATAATTAATATACCCAAATTGCTCATAAAAACATTGACTGTAGTTGTCTCCCAGATTTGAAGATGAACTTATTTAAAATGTGCCTTTTCTTTTTGCCGTCGACACCTTTATTATTCATTGAACTTACGATTGTTAATAAATAAATTCGTTTATTAAACTTTTTTTTTCACATTTCTGTTTTCAGCGGATGCTTTCTTGCCACAGAAACATGTCAAGAATACATTCATAAATAACAATACTATCATCATAGTAATTACTAAAGGCATATAAGAGGAATAGTTCACACAAAAATGACAATTTGCAGATTTATTCATTCATTTTTGCGTACTATCCCTTTAAGTATTCTCCATAAACTACATTAGTTAGCACAAAATGCTAGTTAATCAATACTGTTTGTTCCCTTCATACACTACCTGACAAAAGTCTTGTCGCCTATCCAAGTTTTAGGAACAACAAATAACAATTTGACTTCTAGTTGATCATTTGGGATCAGAAGTGGCTTAAATGAAAGGTAAAGGCGTCTATTTTACCAAAATAAAATATGATCATGTCTTGATTTTTAATTATTTAATTAGGACAGTAAGCTCTGTAAGTAAGTCCTGTCTCTTAAAAGAAATAATGTACAGTATAGAATATAAAGTCATGCTGCAGTGGAAAAAGAATGAATATTGTGTATGACCCCCCTGAGCTTGGAGGACTGCATCCATACATCTCTGCAATGACTTAAATCACTTACTAATAAAGTCATCTGAAGTCGTTCTTGCAGGACTCCCAGAGTTCATCAAGATTCATCTTCAATGCCTCTTTCTTCATCTTACCCTAGACATGCTCAATATGTTCATGTCTGCTGACTGGGCTGGCCAATCCTGGAGCACCTTGACCTTCTTTGCTTTCAGGAACTTTGATATGGAGGCTGAAGTATGAGAAGGAGCGCTATCCTGCTGGAGAATTTACCGTCTGCAGTGGTTTGTAATGTAATGGGCAGCACAAATGTCTTGATGCCTCAGGCTTGTGATGTTGCCATCCATTCTGCAGATCTCTTGCACGCCCCCATACTGAATGTGACCCCAAACCATGAATTTTCCTTCACCAAACTTGACTGATTTCTTTGAGAATCTTGGCTCCATGCTGGTTCCAGTAGGTCTTCTGCAGTATTTGTGATGATTAAGATGCAGTACAACAGATGATTCATGGAAAAAATCAACCTTCTGCCACTTTTCCAAATGATCAACTAGAAGTCAAGTTATTATCTGTTGCTCTTACAACTGAGATCGACGACAAGACTTTTGTCAGGTAGCGTAGACAGTAATGTTCTGGCAGTATTTTGATATAATTATGGATTATAATGTTTTGTATCCTATATGAAATATTATCCAGATCTATTTCTTGATTAAATGCAGTATGATGCATTAGAAGCAGGAAGAACTAGATATTGATGACATTTAATAATGGTGATGATTGGACGAGATGCCGGGCCGGGGGAATTTTTTTAGAAGTTTGTCTAAGTTCATCACAATATTAATTTCCATGTTGGGTTGATGCGGGGTCAGCCTAGTGAATGCTGTTTCTTCAACCTCTCCGAATGCTGAACTCTCTCCTCTGGAGTCTTTTTGTAGCTCCTGAAACACAGAAACACTTTTATTTTGTATATTTTCTTTTGTGAATTGAATTTCTATTGTGATTTCTATCTGTGCTGGTGTGCTTGAAATGTCACATGCTAATAATAATAATAGTAATTATATATA